ATTACGATTTTAGAATAGAGAGGAAGAATTAATGTTTATAGTTATGTTATAATTCTGATTCATATAATTTTATCTTACATATATATATAGATATAATGATATATATATATATAATAAATTATTATTATATATATATAATCGAAACAGAAATTGTAAAGCTAACAAGTAATGAGACGTAAGACCTATTTGGTCTTAAAAATTTTTTGTGCAGAATGCTGCAAAAATATATGTAATAATAGGTAGAAACATTGCAGCGAGCTTGCTAAAAAGTTACCAGGAGCTGTAGCTCCACGAAATAGTTCAACGCAGTATTACTAATTTTTAATTTTTAATTTTTATAGTCCTATTGAATTTTTCAGCATTTCAGTCCAAAAGTCTTTTTGTTTGAGAGTTCACATAATCATAATTCTTCAGGGAAGGTTCTTGTTATCACAGAATATCACAAAATATACTTTTACATAATCATTACTTATAATTAAATGTAATGGACATAAATATTTATGATACTAATTTCCATACTGATCAATTATATTTTAACACCATAAATATAATAGGAGTAACAGTTTTATAAATTATGGTTTCACCGTTATCATCTTTCATTTACAATTCCTGATTTTACCAAACTGGAAGGCCTCGCAATACTTCTAAATAAACATATCCATCAATAGGGCTGTCCTCTTGAGCTAACCAGTGTGTTCTCTGCACTGGTGGCCCAGGGTGCCTAGGCAGTTACTTGAAAAGGCCTCCGTTCCTTGCATTAAGGTAATTGGCCTTTGAGAACTGCACTAGCACATTCCATAATAAAAAAATGATAATAATAATAATATAAAAAATTACACACACTCATAAAATGAGAGCCTCCAACATTATCTTACTTGAAGAGGGTGAAGGGAACAACTGTACAGAAGTAATTACAGGCCTCTGCTTAGGAACCCAGTACTCCCTCAACATACACTATACTTAACATACAATCACCCATAAATTTAACATGCATTTACCATAATTTCATATTACGTATCTGTAATAATTTCACTTATGTTTTACACCTACTTCATTTTTAGAATAATTATAAAATTCGTATTCAAAATTCTCAACAAAATTTCAAAAACATAAAAACTTATCTTAATATCCTTCCCTACGAATAATTTAAATAGCTTAAAATTCGTTACTTAATTTGCTCACACATAATTATGAAAAATTAGAAAAATTAATGAACAAGAATTTCAGATTTTCTCAAAACAAATTGCAGAAATTTTAACCAAAGTTGAAATGAAAACTATAGAATCCGCAGCACATTAAATAATTTAGTCCTGAACTAGATTCACACGAATATAATAATTTTTGAGCTGTTGAAAAAGCGGATGTGCAAATAATTTTCTGTCGCACATACTTGCAAACACTAACTCAGATCGACCTTGAACCCTCTGTAATGCTTAATTCCTAAACAGTAATTCACTGATGATTTCCTTTTCACTAGGCATTCGAACTTCTCAATTTATCGAAAGATTACTTTCAATCTGTAAACACTAGGCGTGATTATTTTTTGAAGCACCTGCAAAACACCACAGCAGAAGAATGATCTGTTATTTTTTAAACACTGAAAAAAAAACAAATTTGATGATTCACTTCTTTCACATTATCTTGGATTTATCACAAAACGATGATTTGAAGAGCTGAACTAAATTTTTCATTGAGGTTTCAGGCTGCAGGAAACTATCCTACCGGCTTAATTGTTATAATAAGAGCAAAGGAAAGGACGGAACACTGTAGATGCGTGATTAGACCCATATAGAAGATTTTGATTGCGTAGTATGCTAGTAATGCTAACTTGGTAATATCTAAAGAACTTGACAGTCGAGGCAGTTTAATTCCATTTTTATTTGCAACTGATATTCGTGGCCACAATCACTTGGCACTCTAGTCGTGCTTTTCCACAGAAATATTGTTGAGATAGAAAGCAAGCAAGCGAAATTACATTTTAGCACAGTAGAGAGCAAAAGCTGAAGTACGTAGTTATGAAGGATGGAAGCACGGCCAAGAGAAAAGTTTTGGTTTACAAAGGCAGTTTCAGTTCCCAATTATTACGTCATCAGAGCTGCGCGGGACTGTTTAGAAATGAAATGCAGAGAATTATTAACGACTTTGCAGAATTGAGGGAAGAATAATGTTTAAGTTTGTATTCGCATTCCTAAATGGATTTACACACACACACACAACATATAATATATATATATATATATAATGATATATATATATAATAATAATTATTATTATTATATAATCGAAATAGAAATATATATATATATATATATATATATATATAAAATCGAAATAGAAATTGTAAAGCTAACAAGTAATGAGACGTAAGATTATTTGGTCTTAAAAATTTTTTGCGCAGATTGCTGCAAACATATATGTAATAGTAGGTAGAAACATTGCAGTGAACTTGCTAAAAAGTTACCAGGAGCTGTAGCTCCACGAAATAGTTCAACGCAGTATTACTAAAATATTAACAAAGAAGAAATTTTTAAAAAAAATTATTAATCTGGAAAAAACTGGAAAAAAACTGCTTACACGTGAAATAAAACTGTTAAAAATCAATGTTGGAAGACATGTGAATGCACGAAAAAACTAATCTGACCGTTGTGATATGTGAAAAGTTAATACACATAAAAATAGATCGACGGAACAAGTTAAAACAAAATAAAAATTAAAAAATAATTAAAACATAAAATGGAAAAATTATAATGAAAACATAAATTGCAAAATTACAAAAATACAATAATTACAAAGCGGAAAATGGTAAATTAACCCACTCGAACCCTCAACCAGGCTTTTCAAGGGAAAAATGATTGAGTGTCGAACTAGGCCAAATACCAAAGCTCCTGGTAACTTTACAGCAAACTCGCTGCAATGTTTCTACCTATTATATATATATATATATATATATATATAATTTATTTACTAATAATATTAATTAATTAATTATATTGTAAGGATCCTAAGTTTTACTAACGTTTATTTTATTTTAAATCTTTACTATCACTTATTATTTTCTACTTCCGGCCAGAATTAAAAGCTTTAACTTATTTATGCAAATTTGTCTTGCTAACGCCCAAGTACTTAAAGTTGTGGCTTTTTGCCAAGCGTTAGAGGAGAGAGAAGGAGATTTAGAAGCAGGCCGCTGGCCACTGCAGTTTTAGTAGTTTTCACTCGTTTGCTGGTTGCCTTCAAGGCCAGAGGTTTAATCCTCTTGATAATTTGAAAACGTATCGTGTAGTTTTAGCAGCTCTCTGTACTACATACGGATACCCCCTTGTTAAATAACGGCCAATCTTGAAGTTAGGCACTTGTATATTAATCCAAAGTTAGTTTTAGTTAGAGCTTTTAGTTAGTATTTTTTATATTCTTACGTTCAGACCACAAGTGGTTGGTCTCTGTATTCCGAAGGTCCGGAAATCTCTGTAAAGATAGAAAAATAAAGGGTTTCGTATACCCTTCCTATGTGTATTGTCTACTTCACAATTTATTGAACATAGCTTTAGTAAGCTCCCTGTTCCGAGTCAGGACAGTTCATGTTTCCAAGGTAAGTAAAGAGGAACACAAGTACCCGATAATATTATCTCCCAAGTTTTAATTATAGTAGAATTATCTTAAAAGAGTGAATCCATACTAGTAAGTTCTATTTTGAAAGATGTTGTGTGTATCTCTAATAGAATTCTAAAAGGCAAAAAAGGATCTCTTACCTTTTCTTTCACCCGGAAACCGAGCTTGTTCCATTCCAAATTCTTATTCGATGAAATATCTAAATAATTCCAAGCTTTTGCATAAAAACTGACACTTCTGTATAAATAAAGTTTTATATATTTAGATACATTTATACATTTTATATACAATTATTAGGTTACATAAAATTTACGCGCTCTCCAGCTAACAGTCCTTCGAGTTCAGGTTCAGAGTTCTAACTACGTTCTTACGTAGGATTATTCTCGAGTTTAGATGCAATGGTGCTGATAGTTCGGAATTTTGATGAGGTGGCGCTGATAGTTCGGAGTTTAGATGTAACATCACCTCCCACCATTGAGATCCGACGATGCGGAGGAACTCAATACACACAGGTCCAGTCGATGAGGAGGCCGAACAACTCGTCCAGCTCTGGTCATCACTCGAGGACTTGAGGCAGGTTCTGGAATACTAGCAGCCTGACCAGTTGCATGGTCGTTTCTATCTCGAGGTGCTCTGTCGGGGAACGGAGGGCCAACGGATTCGGAAGTAGAGATCTCCAACGGGAAAAGCCGGGGCACTGGACGAAGCAGAATTCCATTTCTTGTCTTGACCCTCGCTAGTCTAACTATCCCGTCTTTACTGGGGAAAAGCTCGACTATCTTGGCTAAAGGCCAATGTATGCGTCGTCTCTGGCTGTCTTCCAACAGAACGACATCGCCTACTTGCAACTGTTGAAATTTTCCTCTTCTTTATTGCCTGTTGTCTCAACTGACCAAGATATTCATTACGAAATCTGTTTCGTAGATCATGTCTTATTCTCTGTCGGTATTTGGCTCGGCGGTTTAGTTCTTTGGAATCTACGTAGTCCATATCAGGAACTCCTGATGACGGCAATTCTTGGAGGAACATCATAGGGGTCAGTGGTGATGGATCTTGATTATCCTCTGATACGTATGTGATAGGTCGCGAATTAATCACTTGTTCACAGTCACATAATATAGTATATAATTCTTCATAATTTAAGGACGTTCGACCTAATACTCTTCTTAAATTTTCTTTCACCATTCGCACAAGCCTCTCCCACCAACCTCCCCACCAGGCGGCGGTCGGAGGGTTGAACTTCCATCGTATCCTTTGGATAGAAGCAGCTGAACATATGGCGTTCCAATTAACTTTCTTAAGACAATGGCGTTCCAGTTAACTTTCTTAAGAACACTGTTAGTCCCTACAAAATTAGTTCCGTTGTTGTAATATATCACATAAGGTCTACCTCTTCAGGCAATGAATCTACGTAAAGATTGGATGAAAGTTTCTGTAGATAGAGAAGTAACTAGTTCGAGGTGAATGGCTCTATAAATGGCACATGTATACAAGACTATCCACGCTTTAGACCCCTCACGGAGATAGAGAGGACCCGCTAGATCTACACCGACGACTTCAAAAGTCGCCCCTTCTCTGACTCGATCTTCGGGTGGAAATCCTGGCTCGACTTCCACTCTTTGTGAAACAAATCTTTTACATCTTACACATTTTCTGATAATATTTCGAATACTTTTCCTGGATTTTAATATCCAAAAGTTTTCTCTAAGATTTGTCATTAAAGTGCTGACACCAGCATGCTGGAGTTCTAGATGTTTCTCGTAAATTAGTCTCTCAACAAGAATATGTTTTGAAGGTAAAATGATAGGATATCGGAAATTTTCATTATCTTGACGCTGTAGGACGTTCGTTTTGGCTCTTAAAATTCCATTTTGGTCTACGATTGGTCTCAGCGCACGAATAGCGGGATCGTTTATGCCTGTAAATGATTCTTTCTGTACCAATCTACAAAGTGCCTTTTCAGCATTCTCCAATTCATCAACTGAGACATCAGGAGTGAGGTTTTTATCTTTGTTCTTTAAATTGTGATAAAACCTGAAAATCCAAGCGATCATTCTCACGGTTTTTCTATATGAAGAGAAGTATTTGTAGTACCGGTCCAAATTGTCTCCATGATCTAGAAGAGTCAGAATCGTTTTCCTTTTTTCTTGTTTATAAGTTCCTCATCAGGCTTTTCTTCTACATGGGGCCACTCGTCTTCTGGTAAGTAAAGCCACGATGGGCCCTCCCACCATGCCGATTTCTGTAATTGCTCAATAGTACATCCTCTCGATGGGAGATCCGCTGGGTTTAAACTTCCAGGTACATGCCTCCAGTCAGATATTCTGGTAAGCGATCTTATTTCTTGTACTCGATTATGAACAAACGTACCCCATGCTTGATCCCTTCTTATCCACCCCAAAGCTGTAGAAGAATCACTCCAGAACACTGTTCTACAATTCTTAAGTTTCAAATCTGATAGAATTGTTTTGGCAAGCCTGGCACCTATCAGACAGGAAAGAAGTTCAAGCCGTGGAATCGTAAGTTCCTTAATAGGGGCTATTCGACTTCTCGCGCTTACTAACTGAACCTTTACACCTTCGATGGTTTCAGCTCTCTTAAAAATGCACATGTGGCATAGGCTCTTTTACTAGCATCCGAAAAAACGTGGAGCACTACGGTATCTTCGTTTTCGTAATCAATATTTAACCAACGAGGAATTTCAATCTGAGAGATAGCAGAGGCAATTGGTTCAACCAAGTCCCAAACTGCTCACTTAGGGGAAGAGGAAGATCTTCATCCCACTTAATCTTCTGGTTCCAGGTTTCTTGCAAAATTAGTTTAGGAATTACAGTTATCGGTGCAGTAGTAAAGCCAATGGGATCAAAAATTTTCTGGGTAATTGACAAAACTTTTCTTTTGGTAATAGGTTCCCTCAAGTTAAATGTTTCTTCGATCTTGCAACTCAAACTATCTTTTTCTAAATCCCATACTAATCCTAATACTGGGACAACTTTCGTCTTGTTCTCTATCTCATCGATCATGTCAATGCGAAAATTTGATCGCCAACATCTCAAATTGAAATGCCCTGAAGCCAAAATCAATCTTGCTTCTTGAACGAAATTTTCGGCTTCATCTACGTGATTTAAGCTAATTAACGAATTATCGAGGTAAAATGAATCCTTCAAAATATTAGAAGTTTCTACAAACTTTTCTGGGACTGTAGTCAAAAGGTGACTAAGTGTAGCGGCTAGCAGAAACGGACTTGATGTGAGTCCCAAAAACAACTCGGTTATGTCTGTAAATTTTAAACTTATGTTGATTATCGAACCATAGAAACCTTAAAAAATCTCTATCCTTTTCTGCTATTTTGATTTGACAAAAGGCCTTTTCGATGTCAGATGACACTCCTATGCGATATTTTCGAAAACGATTCAATATACGTGGAATAATTTCTATTAAATTTGGTCCTTTACTCAAACAATCATTGAGAGAGAGGGTGAATTCTTAGAACGTGCAGATGCATTGAAAACAGGCCGTATCTTTGTAGTTTCACTAGACTCTTTTATTACAGGTCTGTGTGACAAGTAGTGCACTCCTTCCTCCTTTTTCCTCAGTTACTACCTCAATAATGTTCCTTCGCTTCCCACTCATCAAATATTTCTTCGTAATCTTTTCTTCTGCGTGTGTTAATTAGTTTACTTTCGGTTTTGACGAGGTGTCTTTCTGCCATAGTACGGTTACTGGATAAGACGGATTTATCTAAAATAAAGGGTAAGGTTACTTCATATCTCCCTGAGCTATCTCGTTTTACACTTTTTAAGAAATGTTTTCGGGTTTCTTCTTCCAAGACACTTTTCGTTTTGTTTTTCCTCACTTGAAATCCCCAAGGTGTCTAAAACGCCAAAGATTGGACAAATTTGTATCGGAAACATGTAAGGATAAAGAAAGAACGGACAGGGAACTAGGCGTATTTGCGTTCTCTTTAATCTCGCCCATTAAAGTCCAGCCTAACTTGGTCTCAAAAGGCTACGTAATCCCCCGCAAAATGTTCAATTCTTTCAGTGAACAATTGTGCTGCGGTGTCCGCTCCTAAAAGCATATGAATCTCTTCCGGATTTTCTTGAAACATACAGAGATTTCCATTCTCATGATTGTCGTTTATAAGGATTCCCCTTTTTTCCATTACTTTAATTAACTTTTCGTCTTTGATCTTAGGTAGTGACGAACAAATTTTCCTCTGGTCTAGTGCTTCGATTTTACACCTGTACTTTCCATCTAAACTAGTTAAATCTATTTGATAACGATTATGATCTTCCGAAACTTCTACACCCCCAAATAACCCATGTTTAATTCTTTCAGTTCCTATCTTTTCTAATTTCAACGTTTTAGCAGCATATTGACTTATGTACGTGTTCTGACTTCCGGTGTCTATTAGCAATCTTAAATAACCCTTTAAGGTTTTCCCAGCTACCCCTACGACCAAAGTTTGTAAATAAACTTCAGAACGGTTGCTTTGATTCGAAAGTACTTTATTTTCAACTTCCTGGACAGTTTTGATCGTTCCCTTTTTACTCTCGGAATTAATTCTGTTACACATAATCGTAGAATGCTTAGAGTGACAATGGGAGCAAAAAATGTTAGAATCACAAAATTTGCTGATGTGACCCTTATTTTGTAAACACCTAAAACAAGTGCCATTTTTGCGTAGTATTTCAACCTTTTCGTCATTCGTTAGTTTCTGGGCAATAGGACATTTATGGCTTGAATGGGAAAAATCTCCGCAAAAAACGCATGCCTTAATCAATTTTTCTTTAATACCCGTGGACACTAAATCAGAAGCAGAAAGAAGAAGCTTTCGTTTCTAATTTATTGCTCTTTCCATCGCTGAAATGACAAGTGTTTATTTTCTGGACTGCATACGCAGACTGACGGCGCCTACTATTCGCTGTCGAATGCTCTGAATTTTTATTTATGACTTCCGCCCTTTCACGTGAATCTAAACATTGAGCTATAATCAAGCATAGGCTTTTAATATTACAATACGCTCTTCCATTACTCATTCTGTTAATCTCAAGCAAAATATCTTGGGGAAGTGATTTCAGAATGAACAGAAATTTTATGCTTAAAGCCCAAAGGGACGGTATTAAGTGGATGGCTGATTCAGATAATCTAATGTAAAAATTGTATAAATGTACAGATTATTCTCCTAAATACATTTTCTTTCCTCCAAAGATTTTGGCACTATACTTTAATACTATTATTTAAAAGCTTTAAATTACTTAGAAGGCCAAACTCTACTATTATTAACAAATCGGGCCTTTTCAATTTTCATAGTAGCTTGACCGCCCTCTAGCTTGAAGAATGACGACTTTTATTAACATATGACTTTTTTCCAATTTACTCTTTCTTTTGTGGCCAAAATAAGTAATTTTAGCTGAATTAGCCATTTTCACTTATTTTTAGCAGTTTTGTTCTTCTAACAACTTGACTGACGCCATTTTGAGTTCTTTCCGTGTCTTTTCTCGTTTGTCACACCCTCTATAAAAAAAAGGGGGAGAGACAGGAATTCCCGCCAAACTACAATTTCAGCCCATTGGCCTATGCAGATTTTATTGTTTCGCCCACCTACGTCACACGACGAGAAGGAAGGTTGGTTGGACACGGAGGGGTTTTGCACCCTTTTCTAAAAAGTTTTTCGGATGCAAAGGACGGCACCTCTCAGGTCAGTTTTTTCGTTCCTATTGTCTGTGTTTTTTGGTCCTAATAAGACCCTACGACGTTTGTTTCCTTGCAAATTTAATTGCATTTTTATTTGATTACAGCACCATTCTCTTTATAAAAATTCTATCTTCTTAAAGCTATACAGGACCAGACCGTACATTGTTGTAATTTTTGACTAATAGCAGACCGCTATTTATTTTATTTTTATTTTAATTTTACATTGCTCGGAGTTGCAATTACTTAATTTTACATTGCTCGGAGTTGCAATTACCTAATGTGTTTTTCAGCGGACGCGTCGGGAAAAAGGAACAGAGCATATATATTATATATATATATATATATATATGTCAGATATAAGAAAATACAATAGTTGCTTCAAAAATAATGGGCGACCTCAAAATTAACGATTCTAGATTTGGTGATCTTCCCCTAAATTCATCTGTTCTCACAAATTCAAAAATCTTCTATGTTTTCTAACAACCTCAAATTAACCAATCACATATTAGCTCTACTTACATCTCAGATTTAGTATAAATACCACTGGCGAGTTAATTGTGTATTATTCCGTTCCCTAACTGCTGCTCTGTCATCCTCGCGCCGCTTCTCTAATGCTCACGACTTATTATTAAAAAACCAATGTACGCTGCGCCAAAAAAAAGGGGGGGACAGTTTTATATCTCCCGTTCTACTGAACCGATTGACGAAATTCAAATTGCGTTTTTCATGTCTCGAAATTAGGATATATATTGGTTTTATATATAGCATTGTTCTAACACAGATATTTTGACATAAAGTGGATCCTTTTTCCGAAATAGCATGCCAATGTTTTTCCATATTTCGATTCTACGACTCAAATTATGTCTAAATATTAAATTTCAAAACTTTGGTGCGAAATTTAGGGAGAAATTCAAAAATTTAGCTTGGGACATTTTTTTTTTTTCAGTTTGCACCAAGAATAATTCACTTGGTGAACTTCTTAATACATGGCAACCTATTTTTCTTTCCCTTCCATTGTGCAGGAGCGGAAAAAAGTCACAACGTTCGTACTTTCAAATAATTTTAACAATAGTACGTAAACCACATAAGATGTTATCGCTTTCAAAAAATATGCCAAATTTCAAAACGCGCCAATACATAAATTCACGTATATCTTCGAAAATTTTGAATAAAAAGCTCTAAATTTTTGGAGGTATTCTTAGAAATACATCTACTTTAAGATGATGGTAAAAATTTTATAGGTTATGATACAATTCTTTTTTTTCCAAAAATTTATAAAAATTATTTAAAAATAAAAATTTTAAAAATAATTTAAAATTTTGAATAAAAAGCTCTAATTTTTAGCAGGTATGCT